TTGTTTTGGGTCCCCCCCCCCCCTCCAGACATCCATAGGGCCCTAGACTCCTGCTTAGGTTTTCTTGTGGAGGATAAGGCTCTGCTGAGCAGCCATTTACCAAGCTCTAGCACTATTACCTAAGGAGAAGAATTGGTGACATGCCCCCTTATGCCCAGGAGGAAGAGGAGTTGGTGACGTGCTCCTCTGTACCCAGGAGGAGGAAGTGTGCCCCTTCTCTAAGAGTTTCTAATTGTATCTGGAATCCTCTGCAGTTACAGGACATGTAAAGTCCCGGCATCTCCTCTCCTGTTATGACATCAGCAGTGTGATAGGAATACATAGTGGCGTTGTCTCTGATAATACAATCAAAGCTTACCTGAAAAAAATCCCTTTACGTAGTGAGCGCCGCCTTCCGTCTGCCCGTCACTTCCAGCAACTTCCTGGATGCCCAGCGTGCTTTGCGTCTCTTTCCCTGCTGCTCGATGTGCTGCAATCTCCATTTCTCAAGACTACATCTCCCATCATGCATTGCTTCCAGCAAACAGTGATAATGTTACATTGTTCAGACGTTGAATTGTAGTTGTGATTGGTCAGTGAAGGAGGACTATGGTCTTTACAGCTGTGACTGACCGCACTGTGCACCGCAATAAAGCCAAAGTGCTGCCTCTCCTTCACCCAGCCTGCTGTGCGGAGCATTGGAGGCAGGTCATTGGAGGCAGGTCATTGGAGGCAGGTCATTGGAGGCTGGTCATTGGAGGACCTGTTTATGTACTTGTACTAGTTTCATGTAATCACATCCATGGTTGAATGCTGTACCAGGCTGAGGATTGTTTGTTTGCTCTTTCACCTCTCCCAGGATGACGGAGATCATGCATCCCTTCCAGCGAGTCATCCAGCCAGAGGAGATGTGGCTCTATAGAAACCCGTACGTGGTCTCCGATCGGGTCCCCACCAACAGCATGTTTGTAAGTACCCCGTGTGCAAATGCTTCAACGTGTCGGCTGTCATTGCTGACCCTCCTGTATCTCTGGGGCTGCCATCAATTAACCCTTTCGCTGCCGGGGCCATGTTTGCATCATTAAAAACCTGAACTCCGGCCTTCCCTTCAGTCTTGCACAGTTGTGCCGGCTCCTCTCCTAGACTGAAATGGCTTCCTCTGATTTCACTGCACACTGCCAGCTTAATATTTGCATAGCTCCTCCCACTGCTTGCATCAGGGCTCTTGAGGAGTACTGAGGCAGGGTGCTGTGATGTTTTCAGGGAGCTATGTACAGCACCCTGCCGGCTCCTCCCACCAGCAATGTTCTGCCTGCATTGCATTATTTCTAAGTTCTACTTTATATCATGATGTAACTTTTACATGAAGGATGAAGACATGTAGAGTGTTTGTTTTTGTCTTTTTATTAAAAATCCTGTTTTTGTATCAACATTTCACTTTTTAAACGCGGGGACTCTGTATACAGACCCGACGTTCCACTTGCTATAACTGTGTACAGATGTATCGCGGCTCTATCGTTGATCACGTCTTCTCTGTTTCCAGCTCATCTCTTTCTTGGCTCCCATTTCGGTTGTGGTTTTGGCCCGGCTATGTCGGCGAGCGGATCGCGCGGACGCACGTGAAGCGATACTCGGTAATCTTTATACTGATGGCAGCGGAATATAAATGAGTCCTTCCACCTCTGACCTGAGAACACCGGAAGTTCAATATCCAAGGGGGGGAGAGGGGGGGGGGGCATCCTGACATTGTACGGTCCATAAACTCATCGCGCTCACTCAAGACCTCTGTTCCTGAAAAAAGACGGGTGCTGCGGCAGTCGACGATTGGCATCCGTCTATAATCACAGGATAACAGACACCGGCGCTCCCGGTAATGAATCAATGGCGTCTATTTATTGACCCTTCATTGGGCAAAATGATTCTGTGAGACCCCGAAACGTTGCTTTTTGATGCATTGTGCGATGTCTCATGCGTCAATAAACAGACGCTATTGATTCATTACCTGGAGTGCCGGTGTCTGTTATCCCATACTGACATTGTAGTCACAGATGAGAATGTGTCCAACTCTGTTATGAAAGGGTTAAATCGCCGTGGACAGAGTTTGATTATTTATGTCTGGAGTGGACACCGGATGTGCTGCAGACGTCCGAGGAAAAGTCCCCAAAAGTTCACAGCACATCCATAGTATGTCCCATCCTTCTACCCCAATACAGACCAAAGAAAGAAACATGAACGCCCAAACATTTGTAATTGCAGCAATTTTCTGCGCCAAGTGCCGCATTATCTGACAAATGCCGGGCTGTGTGTGTGTGTGTGTGTGTCTAAAAAGTCTTGCTGGGTACAGACCTCAATAGCTAAAGCTAAAATTTACACACACAATCAGTCTGAGGAAGTGACTCATCTCTTATGGGGAGCTCCTTGTGAGGTTTCATTCAGTTAAAGGAGAACTATGGGGTTAGGGCTTTTCCCCATAGTTCTCCTTAGGGTAACGGGAGGACACAAACTAGCGTCCTCCCGTCACCCTAAGCCCAGTATACCTCGAGCTACCGCTCATTATATACTGAGACGCCGCAGCTGAAGCGGATCCCGACAATTGTGCCGGGATCCGCCCAAGCTGCGTGACTGCCAGCTGGCTCTGCCTATCTAGAGGCAGAGCCAGCTGTACCCGCCCCCTCCCCGTCCGTTCCGCCAGTCAGTGCTGAAGGATCGGAGCGGGGAGGGGGGAATCCAGTCACTCCCCTATCACGACTCTCTGCCGGAACAGGATCGAGAAGTGAGCGAGCGCCGGTATGTGTTCCCTCACTTCCTGATCTACTGAGCCCACCTGTGACAGTCTCATTGTCACAGGTCGGCTAGAACTATGAGGTGAGTGAAAATCACTCCCCTCATAGTTCTCCTTTTAAGTATCTTTTTATTAGTCCAATAATACGGACTATACATAGGAATCAATGGGACTGCCGGGGACTTGGCATCATAAAAGAGCAAAAATCTGCATTGATTATATTTTTGCATTGGAGCCAGTAAAACAATGCAACCGCGAATCAGCCAATCAGCAATGGACAGTCTCATTGTCACCGGTCGGCTAGAACTATGAGGTGAGTGAAAAGCACGCACCTCATAGTTCTCCTTTAAGATCTCATGGCAGACTACGGCTGCCTACATTGTGAATACGTGGTCCAATATTATCAGCATCAGGAAACCTTCTGTGAGAAATGCCATGCAGCCATCGCTGGAATGCATGCAGTCAGAATGTGGCTGAAAATAGGCTGCAGGTGATCTGCAACACTGAAATGCGCACAAAAAAGAGAGCTGTATTGTATTAATAATAATAAAAAAAGTCCTACATGGCAGTTTAATGTGAAATGCTAAAAAACCTGAGGTCATTTTTTGCAAATTTTAGAACTTGAATTTGACTGGAATGCACTTTTCTTTAATTGTTAAAATAAATCTTTTATTTTGTTTCTTCAGCTGCCAGCCTTGCTTTAGCTCTTAATGGCGTATTCACAAATACAGTGAAACTCATAGTTGGAAGGTAAGATTGTGTGTGTCTATTTTTTATTTCATTTTAGAATTATTGGAAATTGTTGCACATGCCGGGGGACTTTTATCCTGGAAAGGGAAGGTTTGTTTAATTTTTTAAGCATTGCACAGTGCACCGTGACAAGCTTAGTTCTGCTATACATCCCGATTAGCTCTTGGTTTCTTATGTCTACCTCCCTCTAGTGGACAGAAGTGGCATTGCGCCCGACTGCAGGATAGTTCTATTGTAGGTGCACAGTTTAACCCCTTGGAAGTCCGCGGTGTTAAACCCCCTTCCCATCCAGGCCATTTTTCAGTATTCAGCGCTGCGGTACTTTGACTGACATTTATTCCGTCATGCAGCGCTGTACTGAAATGCATTTTATACCATTTTTTTGGGGACAGATGGAGCTTTCTTTTGGTGGTATTTATTCACCACGGGGGTTTTATTGTTTTACTATATTAAGTAGGGATGCACTGATACCGATACTAGTATCGATACCGAGTATTTGGGTGAGTACTCGTACTCGCCCAAATGCTCCGATGCCTAGCACGAGTACTTCAAGGTAAGAGGGGACAGACTTGATCGTTAATCGGGGAGCGAGTCTTTACACGCTGCCCGGCTAATCAGGAAGCCAGGTGGCGAGTCATTACACGCCACCTGGCTTCCTGAATAGGACTTCCGTTACTCGGTAATTGGTATCGGTGAGTACCGAAAAAAAAATTACCAAAATACCGGTATCGGTGCATCCCTAATAAGGAAAAATTACTGAAGATTTTAAAAAAAAAACAGTTTCCCCTATATTAAATTATAAAACATTTATTATCACCCCAATTTTTTTCTAAAATATAAAAGACGGGGTCAGGCGGGTAAAAAGACACCAAACATGTCAAACCTTAAAATTGCGCGCGTCAGAAACCTCAAAACTACAATACCCAAAATTGGCCATAGGCGACACTTTAAAAGCTTTTACCGCTCATCAGTTTAGTGTTATCAGTGATTGATGGGCCTAGAATGATTGCTCTCACTGCGTCGTTCACGGCGATATGTAACATATAATTTTTGCGCACTGGCGCATCTGATGCGTGTATTTGTCATCTGCATTTGGACATTGGGTTCCGTGTACTACACCCGAGTCTCTGCTGACCTCTCCTTCCTCCTTTAGGCCACGTCCTGACTTCTTACAACGCTGTTTCCCGGATGGGCGCGAGTTGCCAGGACTGGAATGTACAGGGGACCCGGAAGTGGTGATTGAAGGGCGAAAGAGCTTTCCCAGCGGCCACTCCTCATGTGAGCAAAATGTCATTCATCATCAGATAAACATTTCATTATTTCTGAATATTGTCCTATGACCAACTACCACTATACAAGTACACTCCGGATCTCTGCGACGTAAGGTCCATTGAAAAGCCATATGTCCGGTAGTTCTGGGTGTATTCCCCCCCCCGGTCAATGATTGGGCGGTTCTCTGACGCGGTGTAGAAATCCGTCAAGTTGTGGGAATTGCTTGACCACATTTGTGTAATAAGCTGTGATCCTGGAATCCCAATCTGAGGACATTATCTGTGCCAGATCTGCATCATGCTGGACACAGTAGACATCTATTCGGTCCCTGATTGAGAAATCTGGATCCTTAGAACCGTAAATATAAACTAAACGGAACAGAGGCAAAATGGAGAATGCAAAACCATTTGGAATCATTATTTGTGTTTAATGTAGAGACTCTGCCCCAAGCTGGTGTTCTTAAGCAAATGCAATGTGTTTACAGCTGGGCTGTAATCAGCCTGAGCTTGGTTTCCATTCTCCTGGACTCTGCTGGTTCTCCTAAGCTTGCTTCTGCCGGTTACTGTTGAGGAGATTCCAGTAATTGGAGCAGAAAGGACAATCGCTGAGTTATGAATATGTATCTCACCCAACCGATTCCTGATGTTCTTGTTCAGAGGAATGGTATGGGGAGGTATTTGAAGCCCCTTTCCAAAAATGGTTCTTCAGCTCATGGGCCTCTGCCCGGAGAGCATGCATGGTGTCTCTTTACGTGGGCCTTGCCTTAGCTGAGGGCCCAGGACCTTAGCTGCCCACTGCAGGAGTACCTTTTAGGTAGTTGGGTTTGCAAAATATATTCTTGCTGAGTGTTGCAGAGGAGCTCTGTAAGGAGGATCATCTCCTATCAAAGAATCTCTGACTGCTATCTGGTGAAGAGATCCAAAGCTGCCGAAGGGTGAAGAGCCATGTTCACAATGGATCCAATATGACTCAAAGGGGGTGATTTACTAACCTAAACACACACACGCACTAGGTGCGTGTGATTTTTACACAGCAAAACGTATTTATCAACCAAAAAGTCTCTAAAAGCATATTTCTACTAATGCCATATATGGAAAAATCATGCACACGATGCATATATAATGCTGCTTCACAGTTTAATCAAAAATGGTTAGCTCATGCATTTACATTCCTGCATTCATCAACGCAAGCACCACAACATAGAGCTAATTTACACAACATCACCTTGTAATTCATGCAGGGCTTTGCACAACACACCTGCTGGGTGTGTACACACTACAAAGGTGTTTAGATTCCACCCATAGATCATGCTGGGAGGGAACACACACTACAGAGGTGTATACATGTTCGTGGTGTGTTTATAAGGTTAGTAAATCAACCCCAAAAACCCCAACCTACAGGGTCATAGATCTGTCTAGCTGTCCAGCAATTGCCCAGAGCCTGCTCTCAAAGGTCCTACTGCTACTTTAGAATACTGGTCCTATTTTTGTACTATTTTGGGGTATCCTGCACCCCTAGACCCTCTCTAGTAGAAAGGAGCTCAGCAGTAAGAGGTTAAGACTAAAATGACTGGCTCCCGACTTATTTTTCACTCCACCATGCAGCAATAATAAGTCTCTGAGATGGAAATGTTAGCCCGCCATTGCACTTGTGTGGGGGGATAGGGGTGGGGGACATTCCGCAGCACCCCAAGTATACCGGTGCTACAGTAAGAAAAAAATAAATGTTGCACCCCAGGTTTTAGGCTTTGGTAGACTTTGCTGTACGTGCTCACTTACCTTTTTTTCCATTTTTCTTTTTCCCCTCAGTTGCATTTGCCGGGCTGGGCTTCACAGCTCTATATATTGCCGGGAAGCTGGGAAGTTTTTCCCCCCGCGGTCGTGGACATTCCTGGAGACTGTGCACCTTCCTATTCCCACTGCTGTGTGCGATTGCTATTGCACTATCCCGCACCTGTGACTACAAGCACCACTGGCAGGGTAAGGATATCTGGGCCAGCAGCGGGCGTATAATGGAAATCTCTTTTCACTTGAATCACCTGCCATGTACTATAACGTTTTCCACAAAAAGCAAAACCAGCGCCAGATAGGAACCTCCTTCAGCCACAAATTGAATCTGGTGTTCCAGGCAGGCCGCCCCGTTACAGATGAGGGATTACACCGTGTGAAACATAAAAAAGAAACACCGGGCACCTTTCCTGCTACAAATAATCCTTTTATTTGTTTGGGAAGATTAAAAGTGATAAATGGTACTCGCAAAAGAGTTGGATAAAAAGAGTGTTGGGCATAAATCTCAGGATACATGCAGATTCCTAGCAGTCAGAGAAAACAATCCAAATATGCTGCTAGACCAGCAGAAACAAGCTGACTCAGCTGAACGTGTTTTCGGGGAGTTTCCCCTTCTTCGGAGCCAGCTGAACGCGTTTTCAGGGAGTTTCCCCTTCCTCAGAGCGCGTTCAGCTGAGTCAGCTTGTTTCTGCTGGTCTAGCAGCATATTTGGATTGTTTTCTCTGACTGCTAGGAATCTGCATGTATCCTGAGATTTATGTCCAACACTCTTTTTATCCACCTCTTTTGTGAGTACCATTTATCACTTTTTTAATCTTTCTAAACAAATAAAAGGATCATTTGTACCAGGAAAGGCGCCCAGTGTTTATTTTTTATGTACTATAAAGTTTGCCTGAGCAGACTCCAGCATTGCCATGCAGTTACCAGTTAGTGCCTGTTGCTTTTAGTTGCTCTTTTCTACAGCCCAGAAGTCCAAATCCAGGACCACTATATTCTGTAAGTTTCCACACATATGGTAGTGTTGACCCCTGACCCTACACCCTTCCACAAGTTGGCCAGAAGTCCAAATCCAGGACCACTATAGTCTGTAAGGTTCCACACATATGGTAGTGTTGACCCCTGACCCTACACCCTTCCACAAGTTGGCCATTAGGTACATCCAGGAGGGGCCTGGGGCCAGCTACTGACACTACCAGAGTAAACTATCTGGGATTCAGGTCTGGAGAAGGTGTAAAAGTATATACAGTGTCCACCTGAATTCCTGCACTGTGAGCCTGGCCAGTAGCCTTTTGGGTTCTGACAGTTCTAATTTAATTCCCTCACATGGGGTTGGATTGTTTGGGAGTACAGATTGGCTAATCTCTCTCTTGGTGTTCATTGAAGTGTTAGAGGTGACTCCTATATTGTGTTCGGATCCTGGTGTTTGATATGTTTAGACTCTGTTAGTTTTTTGCTGTTGGCCACCACTTCCATGTTTAGAACTGTATCCATCTTTGGACCGCCTAAACTTCTTTGTGTATACTGCAGAGCCCCAGATACGCACTGAAGCCCAGCCACTCACACCACCTATTGGCCACTCAGTGGACCCCATGGTGGTATGGCAAGGGGCAGGGTTGGTCCATTAGTTGGGTTTTTTACCTATAATAAAAGTTGAGACTGGCCAGGTTTAATCCCTCCATGTACTTTGGACACAGACCACTATAAACTGCATCTCCTCCGCATTATGCAATTTGTTGTTATGGGACCTTTGTGTTTTCTGCTGACTGCCATGTATCTCCATTTATTTTAGATGTTGTGGTTGGAGCTCTCATTGGACTTCTCTTTGCCTACCTGTGCTACAGACAGTATTACCCTCCTTTGACAGACAAGGATAGTCAGCAGCCGTATCGGACCAAGGGGCGAGTGTCCGGAGCTCAGGAGAGGAAGCTGAGCACAGCAGGGTACAGCCTTGATGTATAGCTGAGACATTCCGTACATATGGACAACATTCCCTGCCACAGTGCACAGCTCTGCTCTCCTATGATGAAGAGGTGACCATCACTTTTCTCAGGAGCACATGATGTATTTATTGATAGGGGGAACTTTTACCTTCTTGCAGGCTGGGTTGTTTCCAGCTCTGCATTACACTTGAAGGGAATATTCTAGATGGATGACCAACCTTTCTAGTGAGACTTCATTTTCTGGTTTGGGTATTTAGGACAATGTACAATCCCACGGCTGTTGTGTAGACAGTAGCAAATTATACCCGAGGTCTATTTTATATGGAGGACCAACATTTCCAGGTTTGGTATGCTCCATATCCAAACCAAGCCTGGTTTGTAGGACAATGTACAATCCCATGGCCTTGTGTAGACAATGGTGAATTATACTCGAGGTCTATTTTATACGGAGGACCAACATTTCCAGGTTGGGTATGGTCCATGGTATGTAGGACAATGTACAATCCCATGGCCTTGTGTAGACAATGGTGAATTATACTCGAGGTCTATTTCATATGGAGGACCAACATTTCCAGGTGGGTATGGTCCATGGTATGTAGGACAATGCACAATCCCATGGCCTTGTGTAGACAATGATGAATTATACTTAAGGCCTACTGAACTCCATGCTGTATGCAACAGGACATGAGCTGGCAATGCTGGGATTATCCACAATGTTTAGTGATCCACTTGTAGATCATCAGGGCTGGATCACTCTGTGCTTGGAATATATCTGATGTCCAATGATCACTTTGCTGTAGATTATTATCCAGTGATCATCCAGTGATGGTATTATGAACGTCCAGTGATCTCCGGATTGTAAATTCATCTGGATGAGCTCTCTTTCTGAGAGGATGTCATGTGATCTGTAGACTGTTTTATGATCATCAAGACAGGATTGCACAGTGCTAGGATTATATGTAATGTCTGGTGACCACATGACTCTATGCCTCAAGGACTGGATCACGTTCATTGGGTTATATCCAGGCGTTGCTTGAGAGTAGATTACCAGGACAGGATTTTACAGTGTTGGGATTGGACTGAATTGTAGACTGAAGCTCATCATCATCATGCTATATGGATTTTAAAACCATTCAACAGACTTTGACTGGTCAAATTTCCTGTAGTTGGTGAACACCATCACCTATATGGTATTTAAACCCCATGTCCGAAAATACAGGTAATGATAAAATAGTCTGAAGGTGTAAATTTAAGATATTGTGGCTAAATAGCATAAAATGGAATTTACAGGTTTTTCCTCCTCCCAGTTTTTAATAATAATGTCTGATTTGCTGCATACACGTGGGGAATCTTTAGAATATTAGAATCTGGTTAGGTGGGGAAAAAAACATTTAAAGGGAAACAAGTTTTTATCCATTTACATATTGGGTTTTTCGTAAGATTGAAATGGATTTGATTTGGTTCTCCATAGAGATTGTTATATTTGCCCATGTTGGCAGCCATATTGGTTCATTACATATACAGGCCCTGCCTCCAGCACCACACCATGGCTGTTTTTCAATGTCATCACTTATTTTTAATATATCTGAAGCCAAACTTCTTTTATTTTTTATAGCTTTTGGATAGAGTTGTGAAGGGAGTAAAACCTTTTGATGGGTTTGTATTGCTAATATGGGACTGCTTATACGGAAAATGTTTAAGGTATCACAATAATCGATGGAGAAAATCCTTGTTTAGAAAACATTTTTTGCTCTTAAAGAAAAGGTTCTTCTACGTGCCCAGGTCAAGGCCTACGTGTACGTTGGTTTGCTGAAAAATGCAGCTCAACGGACATGGTGTGAACAAGGCCTTATTACTGCTTCCGCCGCCACAGACGTCTATACCTATAGAATAATCTTGCTATGGCTCTGCATCGGTAACAAAGAATATTACACTCGGATCGAAGGAAGCTTGATGTGGATGCCAAACCAAATGGTCTTCTATCCAGGAGATCACATGAAGGGAGCTCCAGATCTAAGGAGGATTGATGCGGATGCTCAACCAAATGGTCTTCTATCCAGGAGATCACATGAAGGGAACTCCAGATCTAAGGAAGATTGATGTGGATGCTCAACCAAATGGTCTCCTATCCAGATCACTCGAAGGGAACTCCAGATCTAAGGAGGATTGATGTGGATGCCCAACCAAATGGTCTTCTATCCAGGAGATCACATGAAGGGAACTCCAGATCTAAGGAGGATTGATGTGGATGCCAAACCAAATGGTCTTCTATCCAGCTTACTTTGTTGTGGCCATCACATGGAGGCCAAGCAGATCAAAGCTCATGAATTATTTTCTGATTGCCAAGGCAGACATTACTCCCTTGCCTGACAAAGATGAAGAGTTTAGCAATGCACCAACTCTCTTGGCTTAAACAATCCAACGCTTGTGGCAGAATCACCTTTTCTATTGTGAAAAGGAAAGACATAAAGTTGCCAGTTAATGAAGCTCATTGTTGGAGTGAGTTTAGGCAGCTACTGAATAACATAGTATATTGTTTCCACCAACAGGTTGGGCTCACCTTGAACCCATGCTCAACCCAGACCTGAATTTAATCCCTAATTGAGCTACCTTCATTTTTTTTTCTGGATAAGCAGATCCATATTAGTATTTTTATTTTTTTTCTCCATTTAAAGGCTGGTATTACGTACTCTGATTTAAATGTACATCCCAAGATAATACAGCGAGCACAGATGAGGCTAAATCTAGCTTACAGATTTATATTGCTTATAACCCTAAATTGTCCTTGTGTACATTGTCACCATGGATGGAAAGTGATGTGGAAACAACAAAATGTTTAAACTGTCATCAGAACAGATGAATATAGAAGAAAATATTCCAATGGGGGTGATTTTGAATGACCACGGGGGGCGGGGTTCCTTCACTTTGGAGAGATTTACTCTGAATGTCTTGTACATACAGGGCAGATAGTAAAGGGGAAATCTGCAGCGAAATAAAATGGGGAAAAATATTACCGTTAGTTATTCTTTAACAGAAGTCCGGAGATCAGATCTGACCTGACATAAAACCTTAGGTTCCCTGTTAGGCTAATCAAGCTCATCTCCTTTTTAGTGAGTACGGTTGTTCACATTCCATTAGTATCAGAATATGGAAGAGCCAAATCTAAAGAAAGCCAAATCTCTGGTAAATGTTACCGTAATAAAAAAAATACAGTATAAGATACAAATAAGATACAGAAAATACAAATAAGATACATTGTATGACCTTAGATCATAAACCTAACATAGCAAGGTTGTGCTTTTTGAAACCAGAAAGAGAAAACCCAGCAATGGTTCTCGTTGAGCAGTTGACTTCCTCTCATTCCTTTTATTTTTTTTGGTTGCTTTGGTTATCCTCTTAGACAACTCATTGGGGGCTGAGACAATGAGACACAAAATCATAATCACAATAGTATTTATCTTATTTTAATATTTTTCCATGGAGGGTGACTTAGCCATGTATGAAGACTGATTTATAAATACCGGTATTTCAGTATTGTGTATGTACATTCCATTGGAGCATACTTGACAATAATCGTAGACTCTCTATAGGATGATGGCCTAAAGACCATGTTTGACCTCTCTGCTAACCGGTGCTTTAAAAAGCCTCTTTACATAATGGCTTAAAGAGAAACTAAATTTAGGAGTTAAATCTTAAAATGCATTCATGTACCTTTTTAAAAAGAAAACTATGGGGTAACCTTTTTATCCCATAGTTTTTCTTAGGGTCACAGGAGGACATATACTAACCTCCTCCCGTGACCCAAAGCTCAGTATATAGCCAGCTATTGCCCCCTATATACCGAGAGTGCCGCAGCCGGGACGGATCCCGACAATACTGTCAGGATCCACCTAGCTGGCTGATAGGCAGAGGCCTCTGCCTATCTAGAGGCAGAGCCCACTGTGCCTGCCCCCTCCCCCGTTCGTTCCTCCACTTAGTGCTGGAGGTTCAGGGAGGGGGAATCCCTGTGGGGAGCTGTGACTGACGGTCACCACTCTCTTCAGGGAGATGATTGGGAAGTGAGCCAATGTGTGCCAGCTTCTTTGTCACAGGGCGGCTCTAACGATGAGGATGAGTGGAAATCACTTACCTCATAGTTCTCCTTTAATTATTAACGAAACTTATCTTATTTGTGTATCACTCGGCTGTAGATCATCTCTGAATTGGTGTGGACACTGTCCTTCCTCCTGGAGGGGGGCTACGTCTGTTCCCCATGGCCCCTGTGTGTGTGTTGTAAAGTAGTCACCGCTCCAAGCTCACTCCCGGGATGGATTACAATCTCAATACAAATGAGAAAACTAAACATGAGATTGTAGTCCACAGGAATGAGCTTGGAGCTGTGACTACTTTACAACACACATAAGGACCATGGGGAACACAAGTAGCCCCACCTTCAGAAGGAAGGACAGTGTCGGCACCAATTCAGAGATGATTGGAGGATCCACAGCCGAGTGATACACAAATAAGATACATTGTTGTTCATAGTGAAGGTACTTGAATGTATTTTTAAAATTTAACTCCCTTTTAAGAGAATGTGTTGCCTTGGGCGTGGAACATGTTTGAAAATGGTGACCAGAGCCCATGCTGAGGCATATTTAATAGAGTTAATCGAATTGTCAGATGTGCAGGTGAGGGTACCAATGTAACCTCTGATGTATGTTTTTGGCACTGACTCTTGTATATCAGGAAGAATCCATGTTGGAACTCGATCAGAACGCCCTTCCAACTTGTATTGGGTATCCAGCACCAAATGGAACAAAGTGTGACATCTGCAAAAAAGTCTACCTAGTCTACCTAAAATGCTGGCAACCAAACATAGCGGTGATCATGGTGACCCCATGTTATGGATTATAGCCATTCTAAGACCTGCTATATATGTAACTTTTTTTTTTTTTTTTCTTCCTGTCTGCTATAAATCTGTAAATTCAAAAAAAATATATTTTTATATTTCTGCAGAACAGAGGTGGTTGGGTGGGTGAGGGGTCTTTGTTGCGTAATGTGTCCCATATCTCTATTAGGTTTAATGCAACAAATTGCCATGTATGCCATTGGTTGTGTGTATGAGGTCATACAGAACTTTAGAATGTT